ATATATATATATATAATGAATAGAACTTGAACGAATTTTGCTCAAATAAAAATAAGACCAAAAATTTAGAGGTTGAAAAAAAAAAAAAAACCAAAAATTGAATTTAGCCTTTTTCTCCGGGTCAACTTATATGTGCACATGGAATGGTGCCACGTTAGTATATGTATCAATGTGAATTAGTGAAAACCCAAAAAAGAAACAAAGTTAGTCCACCATAAGATACACTATTTGGCCGGTTTGTGAGAAGGGTTTATTTACATAGTTATTAGAGTTTGAGGATTTATTTGTTTTATTTTTAGTTTAGAGATTAAATGTTATTTTGGGGTAAGTTTAAAAACTTAAGAAGGGTTTTTTTCCTCTCTACCCTTTTAATTTAAACATGAAACGACAATCTTACCCTCATGTTTATCCAATTTCAAACATATTTTGAAAAAAAAAATCATAAAATTACCTCCGTTTTTGGGTAAATAAATCATAATTTGACTTAGGAGTTGGTATAGTACCATAGATGATTCTAGATAGACAAGTGACATACTTTGTGGCATTAAAACCCCTTCCCCCAACGCATAAGGACACAAAATCCTCAACTTAATCTGTTTCTAGTTTTCTTCTAGTTTAGATAATTATTCTCTGCAAGACAGAATATATGGTGCTACAATGTTGTAGCAACAGATCCACGGTGTTCAGCTTTTATTCACTTCAAAAAAATCTACACTATACGTTGCAGGCAATTTTATTTTACATTCTTTCCCTGGTCCATTTTTTTTTTTTACATAAATCAAAATGATTTATTATGGTAAGAAGTACAGGGGGTACTCTACCCTGGTCCATCTAATAATTATGCTGGTAAGCCTAGATATTTTCCTTTTTAAGCAGAAGTGCATTAATGGGCCCTCTGCACTGGAGATAAACATTGAAAAGGCTCTTTTGTAACATATGCCATGTTTGAAAAAGTCAATGCCCTTTCTTTATTGCTTCTCTAGCATCTTCTATGCTATCAAGGTTGATTGAAGCAACTGGGGACAATAGTTTCCATGGTACAGCATGATGCACTTTGGATTCTTCTAAAAAAAAAAACACAGCCAATTTCTTCTGCTGAGTGCCGAACTTTGTGTCGGTGCATTCATGTGTTTAGTACAAAAATTTGTGGTCCTGGTTGAGAAATATATACAAAACAAGGTGTTATTCAATTTCAACATATTAATACAGAAAAGTAAAGCATGAAATAGACAAACAGACTTATTTTTTGAAAAAAAAAAGGACAAGGAAACTCAGTTGAATCTAATTTGAGGAAGAACCATGGAACTCATCTAGATGACATGAAACTTCTGAATGAGGTTCTCTCTCATTTTCCATCCCCAAATCAGTATTTAGTTTTGCAAGTTCTAATGCAATTTCCGGTTGAGGTTCCCTTCCATTTTCCATCCCCAAATCAGAACTTACAAGTTCCAACAAAGAAATAGTTGGAAAAGGCTTCAAAAGTTGTCTTTGGCAGGCAACAAGTTGTTGAGACACATATTTCATTGTTGGTCTGGACTTGGGTTTTGCACGCAAGCAAGCCAATGCAAGCATGGCAACAACAACAATACTTTGGATAACATTTCTGGTTCTTGGAGGCAATAGACGTGTGTCCAATACATCACTTAGCATCACATTTTGCAAAGAATATGGTTTTGATAACAATGTCAACAGTTCTCTAGGATGCCTTCCCATTAGTACTTCCAATGCTACAACCCCAAAGCTATAAACATCACATTTCTCAGTCACAACCATTGTATAGGCAAGCTCTGCATAGGTAAATCACACATTTCAGATGTCAATTTGATAGTAAATAGTGAAATAAGACAACAAAAGAAGAATGTTGTTATGTTGATAGAAAAAACCTGGGGCAATATAACCATAGGTGCCAGCAAGTGTGGTATGATTAGATGAATCAGGATCCAAAAGCCTAGCATTTCCAAAGTCAGAAACAACAGCATCTAACTCCGAGTTTAATAGAATGTTGTTGCTTGATATGTCCCGATGAAGGATGGGTGGGATACAGTCATGGTGAAGGTAACACAAAGCATGTGCTGTGTTTTTTATGACATTCACCCTTTTCATCCAGTCCAATTCCACAGCTTCAGCATCATCTCTAAGAATGCAGAACAAGCTTCCTCTTTCCATGTATTCATAAATCAAAAACATGCACTGTCTATGCAGACAGAACCCATGAAGCTTGACAATATTCTTATGTCGTATTTCTGTCAACATCTTAGCTTCATTCCTAAAACTCCTGTCAAAAGTGGGTACCTCTGATTCCCTCCGGTGAAGTTTCTTTAAGGCAACTACTTTGCCACTTGGCAATTGTGCCTTATAAACACTACCATAGCCACCAGTACCAATGCAATATCGAATGTCGAAATCTTCAGTTGCTACAATAATGTCTTCAAATGCAACCCTCCCATCAAAGTTCCATATTGAGAACAAATCCCCATTTTTTGTTGGACTTAGAACTGCTTCCTTACTTTTAGCTCCATTTAGTCTCCGAGAAAGTAACAACAATGCCAGAGATACCAAAACAGGAGAAATGGTGCTAAGAAGAATAATTTTAACATGTCTCAACACTTTGTTGGAATTTTTTCTATGTTGAGTGAAAGGAGAAGTTGAAGTAGTGGGGCTGTTAAAAGGATAACCGTATAAACCTGGGTTGCCTATAAAAGAGTTAAGTGGAAAACCAGCCAAAGTTTCTGGGATTGGGCCTGTGAGATTATTGCAACTAAGATTCAACCCATATAGATTCCAGTTTTGTAAATACCCAAGTTGTGAAGGTATTGACCCTTTCAAATGATTTGAATCAAGATACAAGATGGCCAAATTGGTTAAATAACCTAGAGTGTAAGGAATAGGACCAGTGAAATTGTTAGCACTAAGATCTAAAATATTTAGTTTCATCATATTTCCTATTTCAGAAGGAATGACACCTTGTAAATTATTTGAACCAAGATTCAAATACTGCAAATTAGACAAATGAGATAGATATAAAGGGATGTGACCAATTATTTTGTTTTTACTAAGATCCAAGTGCCACAAATTATATAGACTTCCTAAATTTGGAGGGATAAAACCATCTAAGTTATTTGAATCAAGATTCAAAATTAACAAATTGAACAAGAGACCCAGAGATGGAGGGATTTGACCTGTTAAACTGTTTTCATAAAGATACAAACTCAGCAAATTAGACAAACGAGACAAAGATGAAGGGATACAATTGGTTATTTTGTTATTACTAAGATCCAATTCCTGCAAATTATATAGACATCCTAAATTTTGAGGGATAGAACCATTCAAATTATTTGAATAAAGATACAAAACTGACAAATTAGACAAGAGACCCAGAGATGGAGGGATTTGACCTATTAAATAGTTTCTAGAAAGATTCAAATACTGTAAATTGGACAAACGAGACAGAGAGGAAGGGATTTGACCTACTAAGTTATTATCACCAAGACCCAGAAGTTCCAAATTACTTAGATTTCCTATGTTTGATGGGATGGAGCCATAAAAATAATTTGTTCCAAGGTACAAGATCCTCAAATTTGTCAAGTGACCCAAAGTTGGAGGGAGCGGACCACCAAGTTCGCAGTGACTCATGTGGAGTTCAGTGAGATTCGTCAATCCCCCAAATTCTGGAGGGATGGAGTCACTAAATGAATTGAAACTGAGATCTAGAAATGTCAAACTGGTTAATTGTCCAAGACGGGATGGTATTAGATCCACAAACAAGTTTCCAGATAGATCCAGAGAAACCAAGTTCTTTAAATTTCCCATTTCTGAAGGTATGGATCCATTGATTTGATTGCTTGCAAGAGACAAAGAAACCAGATTGGTTAAATGACTGATGTTGGAAGAGATTGGACCATTGAGGGAGCAATCACTCATGTCCAAGGCTACAAGACTCTTCAAGTTCCATATTTCTGGAGGGATACTACAATGAAAAGGATTTGAGGCCAACTCCAAGTGGGAAAGATTGGTGGGAAGGCCTATAATTGGAGCACTGGATGCAGTGAGGTTGTTCCAAGTCAAGTTCAAAGAAACAAGATTCTTCAAATTCCTGACTTTTGGGGAGATGGAAT